GCAGCTGGAAACCTCGGCAAAAAGAAGGTTGTCGTTCGAGCTTCTGGTACCTGTTTTTTTGGGTGCAGACCTGCAGCACCTCTGAGTTTCCCAAGAGTTCTCGTAAGTTGCATCAGACCTCACAAATGACTTCTCTCAGATGTCCTTACCCTCGTCAAAGAGCATAATGGCCTCTACAAGTTCATAGTTGAGCCTGCTCTCCGAGAGCGCAAGAGCCGTGTATATAGCACCCATCGTTCCGCAAGACTTGTTCCATCCAAGTCTGACGGAAGCAACCACATCAATGGCAGCAATCGCTAGTTGCACCCGAGCATCAGATTTTGCTGTTGAGGGTCGTTTTTTGTCGATTGATTGTTTTCTGGAACTGCAGTTGCAGCTTCCGAGGTCCGCAGACGCCGAAAAAGATTTCGTGCAAAGTCAAGGTGGCGAACATCCAAAATTGCAGAGTCGAAGCAGACACGCACCGCAGAATGTAGATCCCTCGGTCTAACAGGCCGTTGCCGCTCCCATGCGCCAAAAGTCAAGATCGTCAGCTTTGTTTTCGGATAGCAGGCGCATCTGCCGGGAAGATTTCGTCTGGACTCGAAGCTGTCAAGCGGCGCAACATGCATTTGTTGCAAGAGTTTTGCGATCAACGTCTCGTTTTCAGCAAGATGTTCCAATCTCCCATCGACCACACCCCGCACAGCAACCTCACCCAAGGCAGATCTTTTTGCTGCCGCGCTTCAGCGCGCAGCGACACAAACATTTGTATACCAAACTCGGCAACCAAGCATGGTTGCTGTGGCTGAAGTGTTTTGTTTTGCACAGGAAAGGCTGTGATATGGCAGCATGACAGTTTGTCAAGTCAGATGATTTCATGTGTTTTGAGCATGTTTGATCAATCAGATGGTCACAATGGTCCTTGTTGAAAAAGAAGAAGCTTCCTGGCTGGCTCTTTGTCTCTTTGTCCTTCTTGTTTTTGCGTACTGTGAGTGGTCACCGAACCTGAAGCCAAAGTTGTGGTCACTCCTGCTGCGCGAGTGCATAATTTTTCAAGTTGTCACTGCGCACTTCCCGGCCGGTTTCGCAACTGCCGACATCCTGTCCTTGCACGGCTCTTCCAAGAGCGGCATAGCGAACTGTCGACCCGTTCACGATAGAAGCTGCACCGAACAGAGCCGCGTATTGTTGCCACACTACACGCACGAACGTTCGCACGCTCACTGAACAGCATGCAGAGCACCGAGCGGACGATCCGTGTTTAATCCGCTCTGGCATGGGGGCGAGCGGTCCGAGTTCGATCCACATGAAGAGCATCAGAAAACGAACAGCCCCACCCCAAGACAACGACAACCCACGACCGGAGTCATCGTCGTCACTGTCGCTCGAACCCGCGACCGGCGAACCCTTCACGGGACACCAGACGCGAGCGCATCTCGAACAAAATTCCCTTCGTTCGAAACCAGAGCAACATCCCCCCTTTAAACATAGGGTGGGTTGGGTGGGACAAAAAGATCTTTCACGGACCGAGACGATCGTCTCGACCCAAAATGGCCACGGAACACGTAGTGAACAAAGTCAAGAGCAAGCATGCTGATCACGTGCTGCAGTGTGACCCTCCTATTCCAGACCTACCTAGCCGTTAATAGGAGAACCACACTACACGCACGAACGTTCGCACGCTCACTGAACAGCATGCAGAGCACCGAGCGGACGATCCGTGTTTAATCCGCTCTGGCATGGGGGTGGCATGGGGGCGAGCGGTCCGAGTTCGATCCACATGAAGAGCATCAGAAAACGAACAGCCCCACCCCAAGACAACGACAACCCACGACCGGAGTCATCGTCGTCACTGTCGCTCGAACACGCGACCGGCGAACCCTTCACGGGACACCAGATGGGAGCGCATCTCGAACAAAATTCCCTTCGTTCGAAACCAGAGCAACATCCCAGGCCCCACACAGATCTTTTAGCGGAGCTTCGCAGGCCATGAACACAAAACTGTCGACCACCCTGCTCCTTGGCCGATCTCGAGGCGATCCCTCGACGGCCAACCCGCAGGGTTGGCATCTGTTGAAACTCGATCGATAAATAAGTTGACCCGATATTCTAGAGCCATCTCCCAGAAGACTTCAACGAGCTCGCAAAGATCTTCCTTCGAAGAGTACCCTTTGACGAGCGCCGCTTCGACTGCTTCAGAGTCGGTCAACAGCAGAACATCTTTGTTCTTGACATGATCCCTAGAAGTCTCGAGCGCCAAGACCGGGGCGATCATCTCGATCGGGACGATCTGGGTCTTCCTCCCAACCAACGGTCCGAAACCTCAGTCGGGATCACCTCTGCGAGCTGCTTGGGAGAATCCGCTCGCCGATCGAACATCACGCTCCCGATGCGATCGGCCCCTTCCTCGGACTTCCGGTGATCAGGAGTGAAGCCGTTCGTGAAGATCACAACGTCGGCGGGTTTCTCCGAGCGGAGGGAAATCTCTCGAGGAGGACCTTGAAGGATCAAATTCCGCCAATACCGTAGCGAACGCTCCAGAGCCGGATTCAACTCCATGCGATCGCTAGAACGATCCTGGGAGTACTGCCGCTCCGAGAGGGGGCGGAAGAAAGCACGCCCAAATTTCCCCCAGAGCTGGCTCGCTCCGAACATGAGCTTCCCTTTGAGCTCCCCAGCGGTACCCGGATCAAGGGTACCAGACTCCAGGATCCCGTCGATCGACTCCAAGAGCTCTCGCCTCCTCTGCTCCTTGATCTCGAGGAGGCCAAGATCGTTGCCGAAAGTGTTCACTTCTGGCTTGGCGCTTTGTTCGATGAGAAGAAGCTCCAGTTGTCGGCCGTCACCTTCAACCTTGAGCTTCTGGGACGGCGCTGTGAGATCGGTCTCAAACCCGTACTTGTCGTCGTAGAGATTGAACGCAACCATGCTGAACAGCCGGACAAGGATGTCATTGATCAAGGCCGAGCGGCGATTGCAGTTGTAGACCGCGGCTACGAGCCCGAGAGAGTGCCCGATCATGACAAAGAACTTGGAGAAACCGAAACAGATCACACTGAACTTTCTGTGCCCCGGCAAGATCGGCAGCTGCCGATAGGCCTTCCGTTCGTCGAGGACCCAGCCTTGCAAGGGGCAATTGCCTCCTGCTCCGCGTTGAGATGGAAGTGAGTTCCAGCTTCTCGGTGATCACCGCTGCCTGGTTGATCAGTTTGAAGTGACGCTATCACAACTCCTAACCTTGTGCTTCTGCACGACCTCAAACCGCTGCGTAGGGATCCAGTCGGAGCACTCACTTCCTCTTCGGATCCGAACGGACCCACGGTAGAGCCCTTCTGGACGTCCTCGAGCGTCACGTTCCAGAGAGACCTTAGATTGTCAGACACAGGGACCGACCTGCCGAACCTTTCTCGCCCGAGTCACTTCTGCGGCTGAGGACGCTCAGGCCTTGTTGCACTTCTTTCGTGAACGGCACAACGAGCTAGGCGGCTTTGTTGCCCTGTTTACGACCACGGTGTGCGGGGACTCGACAGAGGCAGCGGAGGGGCGACGCGACCCACTGGGTCTCTCGTCGTTGCTTCACCGACGCATTTGCAGCGGTGCTTTGTCACACCCACATGCTCTGGAAGCCTTTCCGATCACGGGCTGGGTAGTTTCCATGTGGGCTTCAGCGGCCGCTGATCGTGAGGTCGAGAAAGATTTCTGCAGGCGGTGGGCCGTCAACTCTGTTCTGCCTTTGGTGGAGGCGACATGATGCTGTGTTGCCTGCGATGATGGCCCTCGCATGCAAGGACAGCGGTCTTGGAATTGTACACCGTCCAGCATCACAGCCTATCGTCTGCAACCTCATCAGAGGCAGAGCGTTCCGCGCTCAGGTCGCTTCCGAGCTGCAGCCAGTTCCTATTCACAGGTGCGCTGTCGTTCGAGAGACGGGGAGGGCTACCACATTCTTCTATTTGCGAGCTGTGGCCACGGAAGTGGTGCCAAGGGAGTTCGCCTGACTTCTGCAGCGTTGTACAGTGCCGGATTCTCTTGCTTCGTTTGCTCAATTGCATAGCTGCACAACATCGTTGCTGTCCTTGTCTCTGAATCCTGCGGCGGCTCAAGCTGTCGTGTTGGCTGCGTAAAGAAGAGAGAAACTGCGAAAGATTGTGGTCTTCACAGCGATACCTCTTTCTACAGTCTTCTGTCAATACCTGCATTCAAAAAGTGTAAAAAGCGGTGCCAAAAATGGGCCCGGAATTCGGGCCCGTTTCTGGAGCCTTCTAACATTGGCACAATTACGGAAGGCTCAGAAAACGGGCCCATTTTGGGGCCCACATTTCGGTGCCGGAGAACCACTTTCGAGCTCAGTCACAAAATCTGGGCGCTGATCGAGAAATACCGTCCAATGCCACCAGTCTTCGCTTTAGCTGGATAACTCCAATGTGAAGCACCCAATTACTGCTTGTCTTGAACACATATTCGATTTCAACGGTCAAGTTGAGGCCTGCTGCACAAAGAGTCTGACCAATTGCAGTTGCAACTCGGGGAGGCCACCCCCCGCGGACTCCAAACAGGACCCAGTTTTCGGACCCAAAACAGAGGACATGTTTCAGGTCTATGGGAAGCATGGCAGGCTCCTTCGGCGTTGGCTTTGGCCTTAGCCTTCGCTTTTGGCGGCATGGCACCTCAAAGGATAAGCCTGGCAGAACACGGCAACAGGACATGCGATCGCAATCAAGTCCCGCCCTCCACCCTAGAGCGGACTGTTTTCACCCAATGCGTCCGGATGCAGCTGCAAGCCCTTGGCTTCGCCGGCTGCCGAAAGCCTCTGCATTAACGGCATCGGTCTCTCTCGTATAGAGAACAAACAGGGTGGGAGGGTGGGAAAAGGGAAGCCGTGAGCCCTGGCCCCTCTGTGCTCGGGCCAAGACTCTGTTCAGGCAGATCCCACCCATCCTCCCGTGCTTTCTTACATGTCCCTCATGCATTTTATGCATTTCAAGACATGCGATCGCAATCAAGTCCCGCCCTCCACCCTAGAGCGGACTGTTTTCACCCAATGCGTCCGGATGCAGCTGCAAGCCCTTGGCTTCGCCGGCTGCCGAAAGACCCTCTGCATTAACGGCATCGGTCTCTCTCGTATCATGGCTCGCCGCGATGCCCTTCCAATGGAGCCTGCATTTCATACATCTCTTCAGGGACGAGGGTGGAGTAGAGAACAGACTGAAGTGGGCCGTGCGAGCGAATGGCCAGCCGCACTTCGTCTTCCACTGAGCTGAAGAAACGGCCGGGGACGGATCCATGAGATGAATGACTTTGGAGCGGCCGAAGGTCTGCACCCACTTTGGCCTGTCTACCAGAATCTCCAGTTGGGCGCAGACCCCGCCCCCGCCTCCTTCATGGCTTCTGCTGCCGGTCGGGAGCTTGGGCGCGTCGCTGTGGTCCTCGAGGGCGGCGACGGGCGTGGGCGCGTTGTCGAGGTCCTCGAGAGCGGCGACGGGCGCGTTGGCGACCTTCTTCGGTGCCCTCTTTCGGTCCTGGCCGGGTGCTCGCCACGCCTTATCCTCCCAGGCTTCCTCCGCGTATTTGAAAACAAGATCGGAGTGCCACCGGCCTAGGTAGGTGATCTCCGGGATGGAGAGGCCCAGCCTGACATAGCGAAGGGCTCCTGAGCGCCGGGCCGAATGGCCTTGAAGCGGCAGTCCAGCCGCGAAAGCCCACGATGCCACCACCAACTCATCTGGTGCCGGACGCCCTTCAGAGGTGACTGCCAAGAGGGATTTACCCTCCGGCGGCCCCAGCGCCTCTGAGGATGCGTGGGCCGCCTTGAGCATCTTGGCGATTTCCACTGGACACCCTTTCGGATTGGTGCCGCAAGTGCACCCTAACGTCCTCTTGATGCCTTTCGCCTCCTGGTCCATCTTGGACTTCTCGAGTATCAACCCCACGCTGGAGCCGTCCTCGGCAATGATGACGTCTTGCCAAGTCAGCTCACAGAACTCGATGAGCCTCAGCATGAAGGCGGTCGCGAGGGCGTAGGTAAGGTAGGGGAACGCCAGGTGGCCGGGCTTGAGGTTGTATTTCTTCTTTTCTTTGAAGTTCTCGGGTTGGCACTCTGGTGCTTTCTTGCCGGGCCCAACGTTTCTGTTAAGAGATCTCTTGGCCAAAGTGAAGGCCCTGGCCACGGCGGGCCCCACCGCAAAGTCCATTTCCGCTTGTAGAACTCGAAGTGCACTGAGGTACTGGACGCCCGACTTGAACTCCGCCTTCTTGAGGGCCGCCGCGAACTTTAGCACCACCGCCGGCACCAAAGGGAACGGGTCCCGTCCTGAGTTCAAGGCCGTGGCAAGGTCCAGAGCGTCCTTGTGCCTGCGTGCTCGAGGGGCCACGTTGGTCTTCGAGAAGAAGTCGCCCTCAAAGTCTTCCAAGGCCTTCTGTAGGTCGGGCTCCGAAGCTGCGATTTCGAGCGCCTTGGCAAACTTGGAGCCCCTGTGGTTCGGCGCCGCGATGGGCCCCGGGAGAGGTAGCCGGACATCGGCTCCACGCCCCCCTTTGCGTCGAGTAGTCTTTCACCTAAAAATCCTGAAACAAAAGTAGTGGTCTCAAAGGAGAGGCTTGCAGAGAAAAAGCCGGCCTTGCCCAGAACCTTCTTGTTCTCCTTGTCGGTGCGGAGGTCGCTCACGAGGTTTCGTGGGGCCAGGTTCTGAAGAGCTCGTTGCCCGCCAATGCTCGTGAGCGACCCATAAGGCTCGATAGCGGTGTTTGCCGCACTGAGGCCGGTCGGCCATATCCCCTTGTTGTCGGCACCTCCTCCTCGGCATTGCTCGTCTGGGTGCCCACGGTGACCAAAGTGGGAGAAAAGGCCCGTCTCGAGGGTGCGTCCCATGAAGGATCGGGCGCCGGGGTCCTTCTGGGTGTCTCGTTGGGAGCTTGTCGGCGTCTCCTTTGTCCCGGGCCCGAGATCTCGAAGCGGTCCCTGTTGAGCAGTCGTTTGACCTCGGCCGCGATGGAGACCTGTAAAGAGGACCTTGAAATCGTTCTGGAGGGGCTCCTGCATCGTCGACTCGATGAAGAGGCCTTAGTCCTAGCCGGGGTTCTGGAGATCGATCTGCGAGGCGTCGGTCTCGGTCGAGCGGGGATCCGGGACCGTCCTCTTCGGTGTCCCTCGCCATGTTCCTGCAGCAGGCTGAACTTGCCAAGGACCCCATGCATCTCACCGCCAACCATAGCAGCTTCATGACTAGTCGCGGTGCCCATAGAAGAAATCGGTAAGCGCTCCATGCTGCCGCCGGGGGGAGCGTGAGCGCGGTCCAGGCGGCGCAGCCACACAGGAGGATCCATGCTGTCGCGTCCTCTTGTGGGAGCGCAGGGGCGGCAGGTGTCCTTAGCACGAGCTCCATGGTGTTCAAGCCAAGCACCTGCCAGAAAGATATACCGTTATGTTGTTTGCAAACAGAATGCGCAACCGTATGCACGCACGAAGGCACACTCTGATGTTTGTGCACCCTTATGACATGTCAGCAGGTGATGGCTCCCCAAGTCGCTCCCGCCGTGCTGGCATCGTGCGACCCGGGTGTGCCCAAGCAAAAGTCGTCCTGGGAAAGTCGTCTCGGCTTGGCCGACTTGACTTCAGCCAGCTCTGCCGGTACCTCGCCGCGAGACTTGGGTCTGGAGAGGAAGTCGGCGAGCTTGTTCAACTTCCCCGGGATGTGCTGAAGAGTCACATGGCCGATTTTGTGGCGCTCCAGCAACAGAGAGATCTCCGCCGCGATGGAGTTGAGGGCCGGGGAAGACGAGGCTTCCTTGTCTACAACTGACAAAGCCACCGTAGAATCCGATCGGATGGCCAAGCCCACGTCGATGCCCGCAAACAAGGTTCCCCATTCGCGGAGAGCGAGCAGAACAGCCAGTGCCTCCAGGAAGGCTTGGGACTTGTGCGACCCGTACTCAAAATTGAGGAGCTTGGCGTCGTGCTCGTCCACCTCGTACTCGTAGGCCCGGAGCACGGTCCACGACGAGGTGCTTGTGGCCCTAGTCAAGAAGAGCCCGCCACAGCCTTGGGGCGACGTGTCGGTGATGAACATCACGTGGTCCGAGGGGTTCCACAGGGTCTTCTTGGTAGCCAGGCGCTGCACACGGAAGAGCTCAGCCAGCCACCTGCGGGCCGCCTCAAACCGCTTGACCGGGATGAGGTGGTCCTTGTTGCGCTGGTCGGACCGCTTGCCTCTGCGTGCTGCCTCCTCGCCCGACTTAATTTCCGCCTCGTGGGCGGCCAAAGCTGCGTAAAGCATGCTCACCGCCCATTTCGCCCGGCGATAGATGCCCGCTGCCCAGGTGAGCTTGCCTGTCACGGAGCGGAGTTCGGAGACGGGGATCATGCCCGTCCACTTGTCGAGGTAGCCTAGGATTTCCAGCCTGAGCTTGTCTGGGACCTCGCAGAGGAGAGCTCCTTCGCGCCACCGCAGCTCCATCTGGACGCCTATCCAAGTGAGCTTGGTGCCCCTGTCGCCCTTCTTCCACGAAAGCTGAATGCCCAGGGCCCCGAACGTCAGGAGCAGAAGCGACAGGTTCCGGAGGCGTCGCGGCGTCGCGGTCTTGACCCCACGGCCGCAAGGGGGTCGTCCACGTAGGTGGCCATCTGAAGCTCCGCCTTCCAGTACATGCCCTGCAGCAGGCGGGTGAACAGAGCCGAGAGGCGGCACATCAGGAGCGGCGCTGTCTTGTGTCCGAAGAACAGAGCCACGAAAACGTACACATGTTTCCCGTCTCCCGCCGGCGAGATGCATTGCGTGAGCTCGGCTTCGGCGACTGGGTAGTGGGTGAAGGCATCCACCAAGTCGGCCGCCGCGAACTCTGCCGACCACTCGGTCCTCTCCATCTTGTTGTCAAAGTACCACCTCCGCAGGTCCGGCTCCAGCCGCTTCATTTCACGAAGAAACCCGTGCACATCTTCTTGACGCGGCAACACGATGCGCTCTGGGCACACCGCCTGTGCGTTGGCACCGCTGCGCAAGGCGTCGACGATGACGCGGCGCTTCTTCGAGCCATCTGGCTTCTCCTTAACTATCAGCCCCAGCTTGGACACCACCGGGCGGGAGAAGTAGCGCTCGGCCTCCTCGACAGTCAGCTTCTTCACGTATAACCTAGGGAGGCCAGACGTTCCATCTCCGCGTCGGCGTCCCGCTGGTTGTCCGCGAAGCTCTTGTAATTGTTTTGTTTCGCCCACTCTTCCGCCGCGACGGCCGCCTCGAAGGACTTCGGGTCATCTTCCTCCTTGGCCGGGAAGACGCCGCACGTGCGGATTGGAAGATTCGCGCCCAGCGGGGCACCCGTGCGGAGCCGGTGGGCTACCTCCTCGTCAGGATCCCCAGACGCTTTAGCCCAGGCCTCCAGGAGGTTAACGTTCACCGGCGTCTTGTAGTCGAGGAGGCCCTTGAGGCTCAGCGCCGGCTCGCGGTCCTCCAACCCAAAATGCTTCTCGAGAGCTTGCTTCCACTCCACCACGCCTTCGAGGTGGAAGTCGCTGGTGCCATAGCCTTCGGCCGCCTTTGCCGCTCCCGGGTGGGACTTGCAAAACTCGTCGAAGCACTCGGAGACCTTGTTGCCCACGTCGCGTAGCCCCGGCACCCTCTCGGAAGCCCAGGTCGGACGCCGAAGGCCCCCCAAGGATGCCTTGTTCTCCTCGTCTCTCGTGGCCTTCTTGGATTTCTCCTTGCGCAGGGGGCCAAACTTGCCATCGCCGCCCTTCCACTCCGCCTCCTCGATGACCTTCGCCTCGTTGTTCGGCGCTGGCTTGGCGCCCTTTTCCCAAACGGCCGCAAGGAGCTTGGCATACTCCGTACAAAGGCCTTTGGGATAGCGCGCGGAGGCAGCAGAGTTCGTGTAGTCCACGGCCGGGTGCTTGAACCCAGGGGGGCATCTGCAAGTAGCCGTCAAGCCGTGCAACCCGGCTAACCGGCCGACGAACCTCTGTGGCTTTTTGTGTTTGGGCTCCCCTTCTGCGGCGTAGACGCACGTGTTGAAATCGGCAAACTCGACGTGCTCCCTCTCCGTCCATTGGTAGATCTCCGGGAGGTAGAACGCCGAGCCTGCCTCCGGGTGGTCCGTCTCCGGCGGGTTCTCGATGGTGGTTGGCCGCACGATGCCGTCTAGCTGCTGGCTCTCTTCGACTGCCCTGAGGATCTCCAAGGTGAGGCAGGCCATCACGGTACCCTTGTCAGCCTGAGCTTGTTGCTCTGGGGTGTTCGTGGGGAGCCCGTAGATGTGCTCCCTCGAGCGCACCGGTCCCGGCTGTCCCGGGGTTTCCTTCCATCGCAGCCGGGAGAAAGTGCCACAAGGAAACCCAGAGTGCGCCGCGTGGTAGAACCCGTCCTTGGCCTTCTGCAAGAGGTCCCTGTGCCTTTCTGGGCACGTGAGGTCGGCGCCCGCCACGAGGTCCATGCTGGTGTAAAACGCTTTACGGGTACGTTCCGGACCCTTTCACTTCACACAGATATTCGCACTTCACTTTTCCTCGGGCGCACGGCTGTCTTGGGTGCGTCCCTTGAGCCTAAACACCACAGTGGAACATTTGTTCCATACTATACAAAATCATGTGGTAAACAGCTCATCTACAGGATTACAGGGCAACACACTCCTAAGCGAAATGTTTGTTACCCCCTCTTCGTGCATCCTCTTTTCGCCTTTTCCTTCCTAGAGGTGCAACGAACCCAAAACAGTCGCTCATTCCTCCTTTTAAAACACTCGTTGTGCACTCGTTTTTGTCGTGGTGTGAGACGAGTGAAACAGAGCTACTCCTACTGGCCGCTCTCAAACTCGTTCACTTCTTTGGCCTTTCAGCCTCAAAAGAACTCGCGGTGGCCCAAAGCCACAAAACTCTTCAAACTCTTTAAACTCTCCTCGTAAAGAAACTCTTCGGCTTCTCGTGGTGCAGTTGTCGTACAACTTTCAGAAAACTCTTTCCTCGTTTGGGAACGAAGTTCCCCCTCTAGGCTTTTCAGCCTTCAGATTTCCCTTTTTCTTTATAGACCTCCGGTTTGGTCTTTCTTTCTTCTCTTTTCTCCTTTTCTCCTTTAGCCGCTCTTTTGCTGGGCTTTCTTTCCTTTGCCCTTCTCCGCATTGTCGGTGCGGTACTTTTTCTTGTTTGTCTCCAACCTGTTCGCGTATGCTCTTCGAATTATCAACTCGTTCCTCTTGTACCAGGATTGGAACTGTTCCTTACTCATTTCCTCCCTTTGCATCTTTGGGGCATACTGCCCTGAGGCAGTATAATTGTAATCAGCATCCCAACACGTTTCGGAACCATGTCCGAAACGCGAACATACTGCGCAAACCATTGCCTGGCCTTGCGCATCAGGATCTTCGTTGATTCGGCTTTCCTCTTTAAGCGCCTGGAGCTCATCTTCGAGGGCCTTGTTGTTCTTTCCAAGCTCCTTGATAGTCTCGCGCATTTTTCTGCGCTCCTCTTTCATCTTCTCTGCATCCTCATTCGGTGGGCCTTGCGTTGACCCAGCACTGCTTTTGCGCTTCTTCAGCTTTCGAACTTCTTCATTCAGTTCTCCAATCTCTTTGTCCTTTGCCTCTTTTAGCTCTGTGATTTCTTTATCCTTTTTGTCTATCTCCTCTTTGATCTCCCTTTCTTTTGTCTCTTGGAGCTCTTTAATCTCTTTGATCCTCTTGCGCTCCATCTCTTCCAGCTTTTGCTCAGCTTCGCCCTGAAGCAGTCCACCCGCTGGAACCTGCAGTTCCTTCCTTTTCGCTTTCAACTCCTCCAGTGCAGCATGGAGTTTCGGTCTTACTTGGTCCATCTCTTTTTGCAGGGCGGACTCCTCGTCCATTATCAATGTAGCCTCCGTTTCCTGTTCCTCCTCTTCGGCTCTCAGCTTGTCCAGTTGTTTCTCTATGGACTCTTTGGCAACGAACGCTTCGTCCGCTACCCGCTTCAGCTCCTCCTTTACCTCTATCTCTTTTGCAATCAACCTGTCTCGTTCTTCCTCCTTGAGCTTCTTCTGCTTTTGCTTGTACGTGCACAAATCACTATAAATAGTGAATTTCTTTCTCTTTTCATCCACTTTCTCCTGCAGAACCCTCATCTGCCCAAGCAGGTCCTGCACTCTCTTCTCCTCTTCCAGCACTGACTTCTTTGCCAGCTTGTCCATAATCTCTTTGTACTCATCATCAGTCTTTTCTCTTTCTCTTCTCGCCTCTCTTTCTCTCTTCCTCCTTTTCGGAGCTTTGCTCTTCCTCTTCTTTCTCCGAACTCACTTTCTCCTCGCTTTCAGAGGCTTCATGCTCCTCTTCTTCTTTCTCTTTCTTTTTCTCTTCTTCTTCTTTTGTTTCCTTCGCCTTCTCTGCGGCTTCGTTTGCCCTTTCCTTCTGGCCCCTTCGCCTCTCGGAAGCATCCAAGGCTTTCTGCCTCAGTTCGCTCACTCTATCTTCCATAACCTGTGCCTGGCTTCCTTCGGCACTTCCTTTGCTTCCTTGTGCCTCTCCAGCCAATTCCTCGGCTGTTTTCTTGAACTCTTCAGGCACTTTAACCTCCGTCGTTGCAGCTTCTGACGGGGCCGCCTCTTTAGGCTCAAACTGTTGGTTGAGGCGTTGCACTTCGGGCCATAGGGCATCCAGGGTTAACCTCCTCTCTCGCTCCTTTTTGAGCTCTCTTTCGCAGAGGGTTACGGACTCTATGCTTCGGCATTCGTCCTTGATCATCGTCTTGAGGGCCGCGTCGTCGGCCATCTTTTTCACTTCTCTTTTTCCTTCTACTTCTTTTCTCCTCACTTCCTTTCTTTTCACTTCCTCTCTTTTCACTTCCTCTCTTTTCACTTCCTTCCTTGAGTCAAAAACGGCAGCGGCGGAACAAAGCATGCATTCAGCACTTCCAACCAGACTCTTCCACAGGCTACCGTTGCAAACCAAGATAACGACCATTGTCATCATCATCACCATCATCACCAAACCAAAGCTTCCACCTTCACTGCTTCTACTGCTTTGCTCTCTTAGTCCATCACACTGCTGAACCATCATCATCATCACAAGTCTTCTCAGATACTTCGTAGGGATCTTGAAGTCGCTTGCTATCCTGACCTCTTCACTCTCTTCTCCAGTTTTCACACCGATTCTCTCCAAACACTTCACAACAGCGTTCCTCGACAAAGCCTTTGTCCCTACATCTGCAGGGTTCTCCTTTCCAGCTATCGCTTTCACTTGAAGACCTACAGAAGTAAGCCTTTGAACCCAAAGCAGTCCTGCATCAATGTGCCTCGTTCTTCCTAGGCCTTTCTTCATGAGAATAGACCTAGCACTGCTAGAATCCATCCTAATCACCATCTCCGGCCTAATCCCTAGAACTCTGTGCAACAGGTTCTGTAGAAAAACTCCTTCACTCAAACCTCCAACAGCTGCTACTAGTTCGCTTTCGCAGCTGCTCAAAGCCGTCGCTTTTTGCTTTCTCGCGTGAAAGTAAACGATGTTACTGTTCACGAAAATCAACACGCAGCTCGTTGACTGCCTATTCTCACGATCGGTCGCCCAGTCGGCGTCGGTTACTACCTCGATCAAACTCTTCGCCGTAAAAACATCTTTGTAGGCATTCTCAGTTCTCTTATCACTTGGATCCAGAAAACTCTTTCCCGGATATGCCTCTTTGTGTTCTATCACGTAGTGGGCTGTCGCTTTCACATACTTTGCCACGTGCCTAAGCACTGCTAAGTCTCCTCGCGTTGGCGCTGCCAACTTTCCAGACAACCACTTCGTAGCGAATCCCAAATCAGGTCTCTCCGGTGTCATATATAATAGGATTCCTACACAGGATCTGTACAGATGATGTTCATCTGCATCCAAGGGCGTGTCGTCCTTCAACGATCTTCCGTAATCCATTGGAAACGGCAACTTCTTTGGCAGGGCTTTTCCCAAACCTAAAATCTCTTCCAACTTCTCAAGATACTTGCCGTCCATCCTGATCTCAATTCCTTCATTCGTTCCTAAGAACGTCCTCTTCAAGAAAGTACACTTTCCTTCTCCAACCTTCACTGGTCCTTCCAGCTTTATCTTCAACTTGTGCTTTAGCAGCAGATCAACCACTGCTTGATTCTCCTTTGGTTTTCCAAACACTTCCAAATCATCCACATGTGTACTCATCAGCGTTCCACCTTCTCCTGGGGTCTCTGAAAACTTGTAGAAGAAACTTGGTAACCCCACATCGGAAACCATCTTCTCTTTCTCCAGGATTTCTCGTAAGTGCTCAAACCAATCACTGCTTCCTGTTCGTTGTCCCGGCAGGGTGTACTGCAGCTGGTACCACTTTCCTCCTAAACTCACAACCGTGTACTCCTTCTGTGGCACCTGAAGGTACGCGTCCGAAATGTCTATCGAGATCATCTCGTAGTCTCTTGAACTCGCACACAAAGCTGATAACAGCTTGATGCTCGAACCAATACTCGTGGGTGAGTATAGCGCTGAGAGATCGTAGTCCGTCAGCCACTTGTACTCCCGCGCCACTAGGCGGGCTCGCCTCTTCCATTGGAGGTCCCTATGCCTCCAATCCAACACGTACTTTGTACTGAGTCTCTTTGGTTCTTCTCCATTCGGTCCTTTCTTCAACTCTCCATTCTCATCCAGTTCCACTTCTTTGAGAACCTTCATCTCCAATAGTCTCTCGATTTCTGTTCTCTCCGCTTTCAGGTCCACCTTTTCCAAATCTTCATCTTCCAACTTTGGTGGCCCATCATCATACTCGTGAGACCAAGTAACCGTTAGGTCCTCTTCTGTCTCACACACCTTCTCGTTCCACTTGCTCTGGAACTCTCGACTTTCTTCCAGAAACAGCTGTGTCTCGTCGAGATCAACATACTCATCTCCATGCTCTTCGGGATCCTCGCTCTTGGCGAATCTCCGAATGTGGTATTCCACTCGCGCCGCACTTCCTCGTGCTTCGTCTCCGAGTCTTGGCACCTTTTCAACTCTTTCTTCTACTTCTCCAGTTCCTTCGTCTACTCTTGGTTCTTTCTTCGGTGACCCTTCTCCTTCTTCTTCTGCATTCCTCTTTGCAACTTCTCTTTGAAACTCTTCCAACGTCATTTCATCGGGCACCAATTCATCTTCCGCTTTTCTCTTTGTTCTCACTTCTCCTGGATCATCATCATCGTCATCGCTCTCGTCGTCCATTGCTTCTGGCGTTGCTCCAGACAGCGACGAACTCTTGCTAGAAGAACTTGAGCTTCCTTGGCGGTCGCTTTGCGGCGAAGGCTCGCTTCTCTTTTCCTCTTCTACTCTTTTGTCAGCTTCCACCGCCAATCTTGGCAATCCTGGCCCATCATCAATAGGCACAATTCTCTTCTTCTTAAACCTCAAAGCCTTCAGCTGATGATCCCATGGAGCTCCAACCGAAAGTTGTAAAAGCTCCGGCTGATATGCCTCAGCACATCTTCTCATTGTCCTCGCTTTAATCACTCCTCTACCTGTGCCAATTAGGTTCAGATTGCTCGCGTAGTCCTTTCCAAGAAAGACTCCTTTCTCCCAAGGTTCTCCTTTCTCCTTGGTCTTTGGCACTGCTTTTCCAAACACTGCTGACCCGAACGGGGCTAACTTCCCTTTGTACGTTCGGTCCACTGTCGCTTCAAACGCAGTTCTGCCATCTCTTCCAACATGAAACCTGTTGTGCAGCCATGCTGCGTGTCTGTATGCCCAGCTATAAAGCGGGACATCAGATCCGATGGCCGTTCCACTTCGTTGCTCAACCGTCGCCAACAACGTCTTTGCAAGGTTCCTCACAGTTTGGATATACCTTTCCACAGGCAACCCTTGATGCTCATCAGGCGTGGCATCTTGCAACTCCGTCTTCAAACCTTGTTTCGTTCTTGCCACTTGAACTCCTCTCCTGATGGCAATCATCACTGGCTCGGTGTCCGTTCTAATCACCACTTCAGCGTAACCCAAAAGGGCTAGCACTCTTACCACTTCACTCACTGCGTGGTTTATCACTGCATCTCCTCCTTTCGTTGGCACCGCAATAGCTATCAGGAATTTCGTGTCGTTGTCAACTCCAGCAAGCTGAATAGCAAGCGGATCTCTCTCCTTTTCATCTCCTTGTGTTCCTGTGAACATAAAGTCCAAGCTAAACACGGGTCGCTGCGCTTTCTCCTTCGTCTCTTCAAAGTTGTCTTCTCTGCTCTTTGCTGCCTGGCATGCTTCACACCAGGGCGCTCTTGGCAAATGCGTCAGCTCATGTGCTTCAATCTCTTCCGGGCTCGGCAAAGCAGGCAGAGCCTCTGGAATCGGCTCTCTCTCAAACTCCTTTCTGATATCCTCAGAGATTTGGGCTTGCGCTTTCACTTTGCTCAGCGCAACCTCTTTCTTCAATCTTTTCCACAAAATCTCTTTCGATCCATTCTTCGAGATATGCAGATACTTGCACGCCGCTTTCATCTCCTTCAACTCACTCTGGCGCGTCAACTTTATCGGTCCAATCACCATGACTTCTTCTTCATCTTCACCGATCACCGGAACTCCTCTCTTCGGTTCCTCTTTCTCACTTTCCTTTTTGTCTTTCGAACCTGAGGAGGTACCTGTGACCTCCATTGGCACTCCTTCTTGTGCCAGTTCTCTTTCAAGCTCTTCCAAGTTCGTGAGCAACCCATAGTCACTCGGTTCCTTCAATCCCTTTTCCAACAAGGTGACCATCACCTCAAACCTTGCTTGAGGACTCGCCCCAAGTTGCACTCTTTCGCGATCCTTCCAGATCTCCGTACACTCAAAGAAATCCATACTCTTCCAATCCACTTCATTCAACACTCTTTCTCCACTTCTTTTCATCTTTCCTAGCAAGGTTGTCCTATAAGGAAAATAATCGCCTTCATCTCCTGCTCCCTCATAGAGTCTGTTAGGGAACTGACCCGTTGGGTCAAACGTCTTCCCCATAAACCAATCAAACCTTGCAGGCGTGCCGTCATTTAGCACAAACCAACCATCTTCATCTTCTTTGCTCTTCAACTCATTCTTCAGTTCTCGCTCCAGCCTCACAGGCTGCACCGTCATCTCTTCTCCTTCAAGTCTCCGTATACACATCCTCGCCATTGAGGAATTCCTTTTGAAGTATATCGGTATCCGAACACTTCCTTTCTTCAACCACAATCTTCCATCTTCATTCACCGTACCCCAACCTAGCTTCCACATCTTTCCTACCGCAAACAAAGGTTGGGTGACATTGCCGCAAACAGCACTGTCAGTGATTTTCAACTTCTTTCCAGACTCCTTTGTGAAAACAAACGTCACATTCTGCCTCACAGGCAACGTTGGGATCACTTTCCCTTGCGCATCTTTCAGATGGTACTCAAAGTTCGAAGTTTCTCCGACTTCTTCTGCCCAATCCATAGGCAACACATGGCAGTCAGCTCCACTGTCGAGCACTACCTCACATGCATCCACTTCTCTTGCTGTTCTTCTCACATCATCTCCTTCAGAAACCATTCTCACACTTCTTTCAACTTCTGTTTCCAAGAACCACCATCCTTGGTACCACTCCATCAAACCATCAGTCGGTTCCTCCTCGATCTCTTCCACTTCATCGCTCGAAGAGATATCAAACTCCTCAACTCTTCTCAGCTCTCCTTGAACCAAACCTTCAAACTCTTGACACAATCTCACAAAGTTGAGCTCTTCATCCTCATCGTTCCACTCTTGTGTCATCTCTACTCTTCTTGCTTGGCGCGCTGCTTCAGCTGTGATCTGCCTCACTTGACCAGTCTCATTCTTCGCAGGAGGGGCATTGCTAGAGGAACTCTTCTCGTGATCTCCTTGATGGGTTCCTTCCTCTTCTACCTGTCTCACTTTGCCTTTACCTCCTTTTCCTTTTCCTTGATTCTGCCAGCAATCAGCTGCTTTGTGTCCTGTCTTTCCGCATATGTGGCACTCTCCTATGAACTTCCCTTTCCCGTAGCCACCAGCGTCCACTGCTCGTGCATTTCTATAACCACCTTTTCCTTTTCCTTTGTTGTCGTATCCTTTTCCTTTTCCTTTCCCTTTGTTGTCGTATCCTTTTCCTTTTCCTTTGTTGTTGTACCCTTTGCCTCCTTTTCCTTTGTTGTCGTGACCTTTTCCTTTTCCTTTGTCTTTTCCTTTTCCCTTCACTCGATCAACATCCATTGGCTGTGGCCCAGAATAGGGCGTACTCTTCGTTGCGCTTTCCATGTTGAAAGACTGCAAAATGTTCTCCGCATTCCACGATTGGGTACTCCTCTCATACTCCAGCAACTTTTTCCTGATGTCTGCGTACTTCGTCGTAGGGGTCAATCCTATCAGGATATGTTTCCTTAGCTCATTTGGCAAACCTTTGAGTACTGTTCCGATTTTCAGATTCTCATCGTAGGGTTTTCCTTCGGACAGTTTTTCGTATTCCGCAACCAGTTTTTCGTAGGTAAGCAGATAATCTAAGATAGAAGTTCCCTTCGTCATCTGGGGAAAGCTCACCAGAGCTTGAGCCATTGCCAGCCCTCTTGTTCGGCTTGACGGCTCCAACTCTTCAAACAGTCTCCTCCAGACAGAATATCCATCTGGACTTCCTTCTGACTTCAATAACTTCAATGGCCTGTTCCTAAGATACGAGGCCAAAATCGCATACAGCTTTGTGCTTCTCTCTCTTTCACCAACTGTATAATCTGCTGGATTTGGTGGTGCAAGCTCCACTTTCTTCAACTCTTCTGCATAAGTAGGATCAATGAAGCCCACAAACACTTTGAAACTGAAACTCCAATCTGGCCACTGTGAAACTTCCTCCTCCAGATTCTTTGGAGCGAACACATCCGGACTCTTCACCAGCTTAGCTGCAGAGTCGTGACTTCTGGTACTTCCTGTACCTGCAGCACTCGCCAAAGCTTGCGCTGCTGCCGACAGGTTCCCTATCAGGGCCTGAAGGGATCCTCCTGCAACTCGATCTGGTGCAGGCATCGCCATTGGCGTATCACTTGGTGTATCTCCTTGACCACCGTGACCAGGGGACACAGGCAAATCCGCATCTCCAGCTGGACTTGGCGTGGCCATTCAACTTTCCAAGGCTCTTTTCTCCTTGTATTGGGCTCTTCTTTAGCCGAAGGTCCTGGCCTTCAGCTCCGCGACCATAAAACGCTTTACGGGTACGTTCCGGACCCTTTCACTTCACACAGATATTTCGCACTTCACTTTTCCGGGCGCACGGCTGTCTTGGGTGCGTCCGAGCCTAAACACCACAGTGAACATTTGTTCCGGCTTCCACTGTTATGTCCCGCTTGTCTGCCTCACGGATGACAGCCTCCACGAGCACGTGCGAAGGCACGCCCCCCCCCGAGCGGGACATGCGGGCCCCAAGGTCCTCGCCGTCTTGCGCCAAAACGCTCCCGGCAAGCCGGTTTGCCCAGCAGCCTCCGCGAAGAATCAAGTCACCAAGTGCAGCAGAAACGATCACAGACCTGGCAACGGATGCATGTGTTTCAGGCTTCCTGGGACCGTCGGGATGCCCGCACGTTCACAAAGTTCTCCTCTGGTGTCCTCGGCGCCTCTCTGCCCCCGCCATAGGCGTCCCGGTGATGGTCCGGCTGGAGATGAGCCCTTCGCCATGGATCCTGTCCTCCCAGGCAGCACAGTTCCCGCTCCCTCTAGTCCACGAAATCCTCCGGCAGAGACGCCTAGTCCAATCTGGACAGCATGAGTTCGTGTCAACGTCGAGCTGTCTGCGAGGACGGTCCTCAAACATTCTCCACGACCGCTTCAGGAGGAACAGCAGCAAAGATGCCGCCTAGGCCTCGTTGCTGATGCCGTAGTGCACACGCACGGCTTCGATGGTGGTAAGCGCCAGCGCTGCATCCCTACCAGGAAACAGACTTGCGCGCCTCAAAAAGGGAAGCCGTGAGCTCTGGTTTAGTTCTTTTTTTTTTTCATTTCTAAAAAAAAACGTAAGCCATTTCGTGTGGCTTCTCTTTCAAACATGTTGAGAAAGATATCTTGTCTGCGAAATGACGCGTCGAAACTCCGCTCGAAACCGCATATTTTGTTATTTTTTTTCGCGTCATCGGAGCTAAGAATCAAGAAGCAAGAACAAAGAAGCAACAATCGACTTGAGACAAGTTTTGTCACAAAAAAACCTTCCAAGAAAGCTAGAAGGGACTTGGTCCGAATCAAAAAAGAATTCTTGTTTCCTTTTTTTCTGGGCTTCTTGGACGGGCTGCGAACCGCAGCAGAGGGTCTGAGCTCCCGTTTCCTTAATGTTTCCTCTCTGGGCGCCTGGTCGATCTGCCACAAACATATACCAACCTGCTTCGTGCTTCTTCCGCAATCATCTGCAGCAACAGTCAGATATCCTGTTTAGCAAAGCAGCAATGTTGTAACAGTTTGTTGATCGAATACGACGTCCCTGTCCTTGTAAAGGTAACATGTCTGACTGTGCAGCATAATGTGCCAATGACATGATCTTTGGCTCAAGTAATGAGAAAAAATTACGCTTGCAGCTTGTGTTCCTCTTCGAGTTGGACTTTCCTTTTAAGTTTCCTTGCCTTGTCCGGCGATCCTACCTCAATATCCTTGTGCTGCTGTTGGGTCGGGTTAACTCAGTTGCTCGGAAAGTTATGTGTATGTTCTCCGTGGATCCTGTCTGTGGAAAAAATTCGTCAGTGGTTCCGTGCAAAGAACGATTTATTTTGCTTTGTAAGCCGACACACCCCTTGTGCGGTCTTATTTTCGCCAAGTTTGCGCAGCAAAGTTCCATTTCTCCTCGTGCGACAACCAACCGATCCGTAAACCAACTTCTTTTGTGCTTCTTCCACAAACGTCCACAGCCGAGGCCAGGTATCCGGTATCCTGTCTTGCAAGACAGCAATGTTGTGACAGTTGCGGGAAGGTCGCGTGTTCTTCCGTGCGTGGTTTCTGCGGCATCAAGATCCTGTGGACAACGTTCTTCGTTTTGTCTGCGGAAAAAGTCGCTGGTTCCGTGTAAAGGGAACCTGTGTGTTTCTCCGTGCGTGGTTTCTGCGGCAGCAAGATCCTGTGGACGACGTTCTTCGTTTTGTCTGTGGAAAAAAATCGTCAATGGTTCCGTGTAAAGGGGAACTTGCGTGTTTCTCCGTGCGTGGTTTCTGCGGCAGCAAGATCCTGTGGACGAAGTTCTTCTTTTTGTCGTTTCATGTCAAGAAAGATTTGTGTTTGCGATGTAAGCCGACAAACCCCTTTGCGTTTCTTTTTGCCAAGTTCGTGCGGCAAAGTTCCTACCTTTTCCCGTGTGGCAGCCAACCGATCTGTATACCAACTTGTTTTGCGCTTCTTCCACAGACGTCTACAGCAGAGGCCACATATCCTGTCTCGCAAAACGGCAATGTTGCGTGTTTTTTCCGTGCGTGGTTGCTGCGGCAGCAAGATCCTGTGAATCTTCGTTCGGCCTGCGGACAAAATCGTGAATGGTTCCGTGTGAAGAAAGACTTTTGTTTGCCTTGTAAGCCGACAAACCCAGTTGCCATAGTTGCGCCGCAAAGTTCACACTTTTTCCCGTGCGACAGCCAACCGATCCGTATACAAACCTGTTTTGCGCTTCTACCACAAACGTTTACGGCAGAGGCCACATATCCTGTCTCGCAAAAGCAAAACGGCAATGTTGTGTGTGTTTTTTTCCGTGCGTGCTTTCTGCGGTAGCAAGATTCTATGGATCTTCGTTCGGTCTGCGGAAAAGTCGTGAATGGTTCCGTGTAAAGAAAGACTTTTGTTTTGTGTTGTAAGCCGACGCACCCCTGTGCGCGCTTCTTTTCGCCAAAATTGCGCGGCAAAGTTCACACTTTTTTCCCGTGCGACAGCCAACCGATCCATATAGCAACCTCTGTTGTGCTTCTTCCTCCAATGTCTACAGCGGAGGCAAGGAATCCTGTTTTGCAAACGGTAATGTTACGAAAATTGTGGAGAAGTTGCGTTTTTTCTTTGTGCGGTTCCTGCGGCAACCAAATCCTGTGGACAATGCTCTTCGTTCGGTCGGCAGAGAAAACGTGAATGGTTCCGTGTTAAGAGAGCTGTTTGTTTGCCTTGTGAGCCGACAAATCCCTTCCTACCTTTCTTGCCAAACATGCACGGCAAAGTTCTCGTTTTCTTCCCGTCCGACAACCAACCGAAGCGAACACCAAGCTCTTTTGCACTTCGTCCGCGAACGTTTGCAGCAGAGGCCAGGTATCTTGTTTTGCAGAGGTGGCAACAATGTGGCAGTTGCGGGAGAATGTGCATGTTTTCCGTGCATGGTGTTGCAGCAAGATCCTGTGAACGATGCTCCCGGGACCCTCCCAAAAACCTTCCCACATGCTTGAGTCCCACCACCCACTCTTCTTTCGCAGAAATATATCGCCCAATGCCTAATTCTTCTTCGCAAAATCTGCTGGCGAAGCCAGATTGGGATCCAACACCTTCGAACTTGAACCGGTATGATTCGATGCATTTTGTTTGGGGTCTTCGCTGGTGTAATTTGTTGCTGTTTCTGTTGGGTCGCAGAGCATCCATGTGCCAACCATGATAAGGTCCAAATCAGACTCCAGCCATTGCCGCCAAGCATCCATGTGCCAACCATGATAACGTCCAGATCAGACTCCATCCATTCCCGCAGAGCATCCATGTGCCGACCATGATAACGTCCCGATCAGACTACATCCGCTCCCGCAGAGCATCACCGTGCCAACCATGATATCGTCCAGATTAGACTCCGTCCATTCCCGCAGAGCATCCATGTGCGAACCATGATAGCATACAGATCAGACTCCATCCATTCCCGCAGAGCATCTATGTGCCAACCACGATATGTCCAAATCAGATTCCATTTATTCCCGCAGAGCATGCATGTGCCAACATGATAATGTCCAGATCAAACTCCATCCTTTTTTACCGAAAATTTAGCAATTTTTTGCGCCCTTTTTCTGCTTAACAGTTAGTTGGCACAGGTCGAGGTGCGGTCTTGCTAACTAGATTGTAGCATCTGGCTGCACCGTGTTTTGTTCCAACCTGCCAACCTGATAGTATGCTCGCTTCCTCCGAAAAAAAGAGAGAGTCGAGCTGCATGCAGGCCTGAATTTTTTTCGTTGTTAGTTTGAGTGCTTGAAGATCTGACAGAGCATCCATGGGCCAACCATGATAACGTGTGCGTCGGCGCTAGTGTGCAGCCGAACTGGGGTTCGAGTGCAGCCTGAAAACAGGGTGTGGGCTTCTTACACTTTTCCTTACATTTTGAGATATGGTCATGTTTTTTTGGCGAACTTCGCTAACCGTCCAAAATAGCCCTTCGGAGCCGAAATGCCGCAAAATACAGTACTTTTGGGTTTTGGGAATGTGCCAAAACGCAGGGCGGCAGGTCATCCACCTAGCTTTATTATCGCCTGGCCAGAGATTTCGCGGAACTTCTGGAGTTCCGTTGATTCATGCGAGGACGGACAAGCTCTGGTCGCCTACATTGGCTCCTGCTCCAACGGGAGCTTTTATATAGGCATTCTGCCATGTCGTGAATCACAACAACAACCTTGCAACCTTTTCAGCGTACTTCATGCGTGCTTTCGATTTTTGCAAGCAGGGTCAGATACAAATTGGTTGGTTGGGTTCGGGCAGCAAGGGACTCCCACATTCCAAGCAAATAATGTCATTGCCACGAACGGTGCATTTGCCTGTCTGCGTTGAGCGGCCATGTCGCAACCTCTCCCGGCAAAGGACCAGGCAGGACAGCATTCGAGTGCAAATTGGCGGAAAGGCTGTTGAATTGGCTTGGATTGCTGAAAGATGCTGAAAGTAGGTCTCCTTGATATTGCTGCAGGCGGTGTTTCGATCCATCGTAAAGTTTTATGAGACCAAGCAGTACAAAAAAGGCCAGATTGATCGGTCGGTGTCGGTGTGTGTGTGTGTGTGTGTGTGTGTGTGTGTTTGTGTGCTTTTGTCTGTCTGCATGCATGTTTTTACTCCTGCATTGGATTTGAAATGCCCTGCAATGTGCAGGCTTAAAGGCAGCTGATTCCATTTTGAAAAAGCATCCGGACCATGGGGAGACCTTGTGCATGAAGGCGGGTGTCACGAAGGTATTACATGTCGTGGGGAAGTGCTCCGAGGGTGATCTTGCCAGGGTCTCACCGTGAGCTACTTAGACCGGAAAGAGGAAGCTTATGAGCTCGTGCGCAAGGCCGAATGTCGTGAGCCATGAACAGCTCACGTTAGTTGGTGTTCCCGTGTAGGGCTTGAAATGCGACTTGAAGAGTCACGTATGCTGGCATGCTGCGCTCTCAGCCCTTCTAAAAGTTTATCCGTTGGGCTCTGAGTGCCAGCTAGTAGTCAGGTATATGGGTTGCTGTACCGACAGGATCGAGATTACTTCGAGGCCGTAAAGTGCAGTGGGCGATGTTGAGTGTGCGGGTGTCTGAAAGTGTGTGTGTGTGTGCTTCGAGGCTGTGAAGTGCTACCGACAGGCCCTGGACCGACTACGGGATAAATAGACAGGCGGTTTGTGACCGGTGGCGGCTGTGATGGTTGTGCAGGCCTTGCGGATCGATCAGGAAAACCTCCAGATACTGAGAGATCTGTCCTTGCTCCAGATCCACCGCTGCAACCCCAGCAGTGCATTTCGCCTAGTATTGGTGGAGTTTGTATATGTCCATGTTCCCTAAGGGCGCGACGTTCACGGCTTTGCTGAGACCCGCCGCAAGTTGCTGCAGGCGGTTTGCTGTCATGGTTATTCCCTTCCAGTAAGTCGCAGGTATGAAAGTCTTGTTGTGTGCTTTCGCACAGGTCAAATCGTCCGCCAGATTGAACTGGGTGTGGATCTGATTCACTTGTTGTGCATCCAACGGTTTGCAACTTTTTGTTCGTGTCCCAGGTCGGGTATGCCATTGCGGAGCACTTGTGCGAAAACTACGAACTCGCCTGGAAATGCATCGACAATTACGAAAACTCGTTCAAGGAGCCTGCCGTCTGTCGGCCTTCTTGTGAAGTTCCGAAGTTTACACCTGCATGTTTTGATGGGTACCTGCACTTGCTGTGAAGGAGCAGGATACCACTGCTGCCTCCGACTACGAGAACTCGGAGCTGCATTTGTACAAGGCCAGAGTGCTTGCTTTCAGGCGCACCAAGACGAACGTGTCAGCGTCGATGGGAGGCATCCATCATGGAGGAAGCTGGGTTGTTCAAGGCCGCCATGTGCCAGTCGGCCATCTTACCGCCTTCTAAACATTCACGGTTTCTTTGATAGGAGTCGTTGAACTGCTTGAAAGAGAACGAGGGCAAGATTGTCGACAAGCCTCATTCTCAGATGTCTTGGGTTTGGAGAAACCAACTTTTTATGAGTTCCCTTTTCGCGGCCTCTGATCTGTCAAGACTCACTGATGCATCCGATATCTTGCTTTTGCCAAATTCAGCTTGCTATCCTCCTTATTGAATGTTCCGGGCCTTCGTCGGCTCGACCAATCTCCGTCGAATTGTGAAAGCCTTGCAGGATCGGCCTGATGGAAATGCAGGGGAGGCTTTGCATGTTCCTATCCTTGCATGAAGAAGCAGCCGGATACTTCAAGAGGCCTGCGATGTCCTGTGGTCCCGGCTTGCGAATCTTCTGTGGATTCGTGCAGGCTGGTCGACATCAACACTGAGCATCATGTCTATGCTTTAGCATACATGGCTCATACCTTAGCTTCGCAATATGGGAAGAATGCCTCACCGTTTCTTGGGCCGTGTCTTCCGAGGCTTCCCAGCCACAGTTCAGCTCCTTCTGGTGCGACTCTCAAGCGGGCGCTGTGCGCATCGATCTGTACGAAGTAGTGTTGCTCAGTTTCATAGTAGTGCTACCAAGTACCAGACGTGTAAGATAAGAGGCCTCCGCTGCCAGCCCCGACGACGCCCGACGAGCATGGCGACCTTTGCAACGGGACTGCTGCCGTGCGCCGAGCTGCAAAGACCACAAAGCGGCCCTGCAGTGAATCTGGTGGCGTGAGTGCAGAGCTTAGGCGTCGAAAGCACCGTTGCCAAAAAGTATTCTGTCCTTCCCGTCAACGCTGCATCCAGAAGGCCTCCATGTTTCCTGGTTACCACCTGGTTGAGCTTGGAGATGGGGCCTTCAGCTTCCAGCTTGCCTTTCGCCAGTCCTCAGCTCTGTGCAGCCACTGCTAGCAGAGATTCTCTTGTGGCTCGTGGCATCGGTCACGCGTAAGCTTTAGAACCACCTCACGGAGTTCCTGGTCGTGTCTTTGTGGACTTGGGCAGGTATGCCTGTGTTTGGCTGGCTGCCACCAAAGCATGCGCTCAAACCGCAGCGCAGATTGATAATCGGTCGGAAGCAGTGCTCCCTGCGCGACTTGATGATTCCTCTTCATGCACGATCCCTTGCTAAGTTATCACTCTTGACTTTACAAATTGCAGGCATAAGCGACGGGTCGACACACTCGAACCGGCCGCACCGTCCTCACAAAAAGCAGGTAACGTGTGCTGCCTGTGCTTGCACTGTATCTTTTGTGATGCCTTCTATCTACTCGCGACATGCCTTAGGAACCCCTGACCGAGCAGCAGGAGGACGAGGAACCGCCGGCACAATTCAAAAAGGGTTTCGCACGAGGTATTCTGTTTGAGCTGGAATGGCAGGTGATCCAGTTCTTTGAGGGCTTGAAAGATGCGTATCCGAAGTCGGACTCAATGAAAAGGCATTGGGGCTTTCACCGGAAATGCTTTAAAATTTGCAACAAGCACGAAGGCTTTTGCCAAATTTGTGTCGCGGCACGGCGGCAGGCTGCCCCTCTTCTTCCTGACGGGACAGAGGTTCAAGCGCAAGCTAGATGAGTACCTGCGAAGCAGGCTCCGAAAAGGCCGCAGCCACGACTCTGCTCCTGTTCCTTTTCGAAACTGCCGTTCGAGCTGCTGCTTCTCACATCTTCAGGTGTCCCATCACTCTTCCGCACCATGCGCTCGTATTATTTCACGTGCGTACCTCGGAGTAAGAGCACTGCTTGTAACGCCTTGCCTGGTGTGCAGCAGCACGTCGCCAGGCCCGGAAAGCCAGATCTGCAAAACCGTCATGTTTGCTTGAGAGGTCATGCGGCCCCAAGGGGTGTTGCTCAGGATCGAAGAGCTGCTGCTGCAGTATGTCCGCTGCTTGAAAGATGAGAAAGTGTCATGGCATGGGTCCCAGCAAGGCGTAGCAAGGCGTAGTGCTGCAGGAGAAGTTTGCAGAGTCCTCCCCCAAGGTTCGGACCGCTTACCGGCGAGCAGGCAGAGCCGCCCAAGGCAGGTGATAGAGGTGGGCGGTCGGAAGGCGAGCTGTGAGCGTCTGAGGTGAGCGATGAAGAGCCACCGTCAGCACTGCTTTTCACCCTCATGGCCCGACTCTGATCCGTGCAAAGTATTGAGTCACATGACCTCCTGCCCAGACGGTCGCCGAACATTTCGACTTCATGGGCGAGACCCACAAGGACAGCATGGCTGGGCCGAGATCATCACGTTTGTTCACGCATTCTTTTCCCCCCGAAGGCTCTGGAGTATGTGAACGAAGCGATCGAACACACCCCGACTTTGGTGGAGGCTGTACGACGAAAAAGAGGAAACCATCCTAACAATCCGTAGACTTGCGAGGTTTACGCATGCAAGGCCCGAATCTACAAGCATGCTGGGGCCTTGAAGTTTGCGTCAACACGTATTCACAAGGCATTTTGCAGGGGATCTGCTTGCAAGGCAGGCGACCTGGTAAATTCGGCGCAGTGCTATGAGGAGGCGCATGCCGAACGACGAAGGGCTCCGCAAAGTCGAAATCCTTGGTGTGAAGGTACGACAAATGGATTTGGCTGACCGTTACTTGAACACTCAATGCGTCAGGCCTGACATTTGTCAATTCATGATAGGTTCGCGTGAACCGCAGGTCTCAAAAAGGAAGACATGATATACCGGTCGCACCATGATGAGATGCCTTGAGGGCTCTTCTTCGCGTCGACGATACCCAAGGCGGCATGGAGAAGGCATCGTGAGGCAGCTTGGAGCCATGGTCGGTGGCATCACGAAACTGCCGAGGCATTGCTCTTCTCGAAAGAGCCTGACTCACAGGAGGCAAGGTTGGCCGGTGCTGGACGTTCAGCCTCCTGCCGAGTGCTTGCACCAGTCCTTTTCTCACTGGCAAAGGCAGCAAATCTACATGACATGCAATGCATGTGGTACGAGTCTGCTGCGAGGATCCCAGAAAACAAGTTTGGCATTGTGAGTGTTGCTGAGTTGTAGCCACCAGCTGCTAATGGTTTCTTTTCTCGCTTCCACATCTGTCGCTGGACCTGGACAGAAGTCGTACAAGCCTGCTGCCCTTTGCTGTCTTGCAAATTTCTTTGAAGACTCGTCTTGGTGAGGTCGGTCGCAGCTACAAGCGGCAAAAGAAGTATGGAAAGGCATTGAAGCAGCTCGGAGCTTGGCAAGCGCTGCGTACTGGATCTGTTCTTGAGTGAGCCTTTTGTTCCTTTTGTTCAGTTCCAAATCATTGCAGCGGCTTTCGGCTCCTAGGAACAGGGAGCTCAGTCTTACACACGATCGTAGTGGCACAGGGTCGCCATCAGCATACTTGGCCTCAAACTGCGGTGAATAGGGTTGCGTAACGGGCAGTGGCTGCTCTGCCGTTTCTTTGACGGGCATGAGCTCCGACTCAGGATCTCTGGAAGCGGATGTGAATGATGTTCCCATGTCGACTTTTTGCTGCGCGCAAGACGCCCTTCTGGCTTCGCGGGTTCTTGCGAAGTCTGTATCTGGCCGTCGGCATCATTGTCACCATCGGTGTTTACAGCTTCCTTCAGGAGAGAATCGTTTCACAGCCATATGATGATGAGGTTTTCAAGGCCACAATGTTTCTCGTTCTGTGCAATCGGATTTTTTCCGTGCTGTATGCGTTCACTATGCTCAAACAGACCGGGCAAAGCTGGAGACCGCAGACTAAATTCTGGAAGTACGCAGCAGTTTCATTCTCCAACATGCTTAGCACATGGTGTCAGTACGAGTCCTTGCGGCACGTTTCCTTGGTTCTCCAAACGATGGCAAAGACCTTCAAGATGCTGCCGACAATGCTGATGGGAATCATCGTGTCAAAGAAGCGGCATACTATAAAGGACGTATTGACGGTTGTTCTCATTACTGTCGGAATTACATGCTTCGTGGTCGGAGGGGACATCAAAGCCGAACATGCCTCCGGATCTAGTTGGTATGGGCTGCTGCTCCTATTCGGTTTCTTGTTCTTCGATGGTTTCACAAGCACATTCCAGGAGAAGCTTTTCAGAGAGAGCCAGATGTCCAAGTACAACCAGATGTTGTATATGAATTTGAGCTCAGCATTAGTTGGTGCCGCATCCCTGGTGCTTACTCGCTCCATTCTTTATTGCTACACTTTCCTTACCGGCCACATGGAGTTCGCCACCGATGTCGTGCTACTGTCATTGTCAGCAACTGCTGGACAGTTTTACATCTTCTCCATGGTTCAGGAGTTTGGTGCTCTTGCCTTGGCAGCAGCCATGAACGCAAGGCAGATCACCACGATATGTGCATCCTACGTCTTGCGACCGCAGTATGCTACGTTGGCACAATCAGTCGGCTTATTGCTGCTGTTCAGTGGGCTCATCATGAGAAGCTTTTGGAGCTTGCACAAGTGGCATAATGTCTCCATGATGGACTCGGACAAAACTTCTCCTGCTGCCTGTAGCAAGACAGATGCTACTGACACTGATGAAGCTGCAAGCAATCCTGGAGCTGCGTGCATCGGTCAAGCTCTGGAAGGAAATGGCGACGATGTTGACGAAGCAGCAGAGTTGTTGTCAGGCCGATAACGAGCGAATTTCGCCGGTGCCTTCAGCTACATCGAACGTGGAGTTTATCGTTCACGCTTCACATGCGTGGACATAAAGGAGACGCACTCCAACGAGGAGCTGGTCGGAGAAACCAGCATATTTGCACCAACACCACAGACGAGACTGGTTCCAGGCCGTCGATGCCGTCCTGCCTGACCCTTTCGGAAACTTCATGAGTCCCAGTTTCGGCAGTGCTCGCCTAAAATCCCGACGCTGACTGCCGACCTTCTGGAGAGGGGTATGCCGCCAGGCCTTGCGAGGATCTTGGAGGTGGCGGATGACAGCAAACGTAAGCTCTTCCGGCGTTCATCCCGTGCACATCGCTGAAGGCTGAGAGCGCTGAGGAAAAACGTCCGGACTTGCGCGCACGGAAGCCGCGAGTGATAAAATCCGGAAGCTGATGCGTATAAACTGCTGCAAGGGAACTTACATGGCTTGTTTCCTGTCTTTGCGACAAACTGGATCCAGCTGATCCATCCTAGGTTCCACGAGACCTTCAAGCACTTCCATGACATTGCTGAGGATCAGTTCGATTTTCACAACTATTGCTTGCGGAAAACTACGCTTAAGGCCACGTGATGCCTTTGGAATTTGTGTCTGGCTTCCGCGTTCTGGTGGCTGCAGGCGTATGTCGCAATGCTGCGAATGCAAGAGCGGTTGCTCGGCTGAGATTGGGTCATAATGTTGACCTGTATCTTTATTTCGTCCGGCCGCGCATGCAGGATGTTTTGGGAACTTTGGGGACTTTGCATTCCTGCAGTATGTCCGCTTGCCTTCTTCGACAGGTTGTATTCGCACAGATTCTATCGTCGTGCTGCGAAGGCTGCTTGCATGGGGTTTGGGTTCAGTGCATCGCTGAAGCCACAACTTGCGGAGGACGCCATCAACATCTACCTCGAGCTATTCGCATCTGCCTCAGATGGAACGGTGCACAAGATGACTCTTGGATGAGTGTTCTGACCGATTCGTCGTGCCGCTTTGAGGATGCTAAAGCTCGGGGCGACGAAATTCTGACCACCGAAGGCCAGAATGCCCTGAATTTGGTGTTCTCCGACGGTTTCGACTGCTGCAGGTGCCTCTGCGAGTGCAAGCCCTGGCTCTTGCAGAAAGGGTTCTACGATGTGCCGGTGCATTCTTGATTTGATTTGCTTCACGGCTCTGTTTTGGTGGCCTTCAGGTGCAGAGGCGGAGTTGAGCGCTGAGGAGAAGAAGAAGCTGAAGCACAAGAAGAAGCGAGAGGTCCGACTGGGAGTGCTCGTGAGGCAGGAAGAATCTCTGGCTTCTGAGGCGCAGAAGGAGGCACAGAAGGTCAGCGAGAAGCCGTGCCTTGGTGGTGCACAACAAGAGTCTGCTGCCTCAAGACTGAAGCATACTTTTGTCCTATTTGTCTTTGGGTGTGCAGGTCGACAGGTAAGCCGAAGAAGGTAGACGAAGACCCGGACGGAGAGAAGCTCTTGTCGTGAGCTCACAAAGCAGACAGCTGTTGCCCAACCAGGGAGCGCCCCAGTTTTCAAGGCAGCAAGATGCCATGGAACAGGCCAACAAGATTGTTGGAGCCTTAGCCAATCCTTGCCCGTCTTGGTGATGCACTGCCGAAAGCAAGCTTGAAATCAAGGTTCGCAACTTGGTGCAGCACAGTTCTCTGGATGCTGCGACCCATGTCATCATCCCAGCGGTCTGCAACAGGTTGAAGTAGCTCAAGTGTTTGATAGTTTATGCAGGAATCTTTCGTATGAGGTGCTGACCTATGAAGTGTTCAGCCGGCAAGGCAAAGTCATCCACTGCTTGCAGGCCGTGCTGATATTCAGATACTAGTACAATTTGTATGCTTGGCTTTAATGGCACCTTATCATTTTAGTTGTCTCTCCTGTCCAAGTCTTTCTTCCTTGTTTTTGGCAGGTGGTGCCTCCAAAAACTGAAGGATCTGGTCCCAGTCAGGGCAACAGCTGATGCTGACACCAATCGAAGAGCTTTGTTGGACCAGCCAAAACGTTTGAGATGCTGGGCCCAGCAGGGGCTTTGAAAAGAAGTTGGTGCTGATGATGATGAGTGCAATGTGATGCCGATGATGCGCGGCTCCTTGGGCAAATGGCTGGGGAGCTGATGCTGATGATGCTGGGCCCAGTTGGCAGGGGAAAGACAGCTGATGCGCTCTGCTTGGCCAGCCAATCGTTTGCCATGTGATGATGCTGGGTCCCGCAGCAGCATTTGTGGTTGGCCCACATCGGCGCACGATTCTGCTAGCCGAACATGCTGTCACCCTTCCCATCGCGGACGACTAGAAACCTCCAGAATCCAGAAGACTTGCACCCTACATCCGAAAATCTGAGTTTCATCCATCCAGCATCCTAGCCCCGTGCCCCACCTTCCAAAAAACAACAGAAAAATTCGTTAAACAGAGGCCACGTCAGAGATGGGAAGGCGCAGGAGACGGTAACCTGCGAGCGCTCGGATAGCTTCGGCGCCAGTCGATGGATCGAGCTCAATGGAAAGTCTTGCGAGTAGAAAGTGCCTTAATGCTAGGCTATAGGGCTTTTGAGATTTCTGCATTTTCGGGGTCAGTTGCTGTAAGGGCTTCTACACCAAGCCTTCAGCCAGCACGATCGGTCTTCGGAATATACCATGCTTCGGGTTCGGCTCTAGGGCACAGACCCTCGAAACAGAGAATACAAGCTCAGCCGCTTTGGTAAGCTTCACATACAGATCGTCCAAAACTGACGGCTTCCTTTCCAAGTACAGTCCCGAATCCTTGAGAGAGGCCCATGAAAGAGACTGTCGGCGGCATTACCGAGAGGATTGCTACAGTTCACCGGCCTGGAACACACGGGCGGGGGGATTGAAATGAAGCTGGTGCTGATGATGTTTGGTCCAACTGTGCCATCAGTCGAAGCGCCTGAGATGTGATGCTGTGGGGAGTTGATGTTGATGATGCCGTGGCCAGCTGGGTCCAGGAGCTGGTGCTGATGATGCTTGGTTCAGCCGTGCATGGTGCTTGGTCCCGTCGCTGACGATGTGGTTCCATTGTCAAAAGGGTGAGGAGCTGATGCTGATGATGCTGGGCCCAGTGGGGGCCGACAGCGGAATGCCGCACAGTCGAAACGCTACTGATGTGGTGAAATTCCACCGGCATGCTAGCAGAGAAGCGTGCCACGTCTTCCATGCCGATTGCTTTCGGCTCACCTTGCAGGGCGCCCTTTTGAGGTAGAAAAAGCGTGCCTCAGCTCAGCAGCGCCGCCTTGCTGAGTTTGATGGTAAGCGGAGCTCTGCCGTGAGCAGGGCCTTCTCCGCTACAGCGCCGACTGCGCTGCGCTGCGAGCCCGATACCGCGAGGTCTGGCTACCACCAGGCCGACATTTCTCCGCGCCCGCCTTTGTGCCGGCGCCTGGGCAGACACAGCGATGGCTCGACTTGACGTCGATCGCTTCGGTGTTCCACAGTATGGTGGTGAGCCCGAGCTGTACGAAGAGTATGCTGAGAGGTGCTGGGACCTATGGTATGGCAGGGAAGGCTCCGATCATCAAGGGGCTACTCCGGTCCACCTGAGGTCCGGGCTGACAGCTGCAGCCTACTCTGCGGTTCGCAAGCTCGACCACACCAGCCTTATCACGAAGGGCTCCGACGGCAAGCCCACGGATAAGGGACTCCGCCTCTTGCTGCAGACCCTGAAGGACAACATCGAGCAGGAGGCCCCGGTGAAGACCAACGAGCTGTTCTTCCAGGCCTTCTACAGCCCCCATGTGTGGCGCATGCAGGCCGAGACCATGCAGCAGTATATCTTGAGGCGCGAGCAAGACTTCAAGAGGCTGGAGGAAGTGCTCGCCGGGGCGAAGATTCCGGACCACATCCGGGCGATGATGCTGCTGGCGTTCGGCGGCTTGGACAGCCGCGAGCAGCTCAACGTGCTGGCCTCGGTGAACAACGAGTACGACTTCAAGAAGATCGGCCACGCACTGAGGATCCAGTACCCCACGTGCTCGGGAAAGCCGGTGTTTCGGCGTGACTACTTGGGCAGCTCCCGCTCGCAGGCTGCCTCCACCATGCTTCCCGCCAAGAACCGGCCGCGCTCCTTTGGAAACCGCGCGCCAAAGGGGAAAGGGCGAGGATACGCCCTGGCCGTCGAGGAGGACGAGGTCGACCCCGACGAGGTGTACGCCGACGAGGGCGACCAGGAGTACGACGAGGAGGCCTTTGAGGGCGGAGAGGCAACCGACGACGACCCCCTGGAGGCCATGGTTCAGGACATGGACTTCGAGGACCAGGAGCTGGCAGAAGCGCTGGCCACCGTGCTTCAGAAGCGCAAGGGCTCTGGTGGGCATTCGGGCGCCAAGGGTGCCCCACAGAGCTTTCCGTTCCGGGCCAAGGGCGAGATGACGCTGGACCAGAAGGCCAAGGAGACCCGCCGCAATGCCGTCAAGTTCTTGAAAACAGTTACCCCTTGCACGGCCTGCGGGCTGAAGGGGCATTGGGCGGGCGATCCTGAGCGCCAACAGCCCCGCAAGAGCGGAAAAGGGGGCCAGAGCGCCTCTCCTAAGAAGCGGCCGTTCGCCAAGAAGAAGACGGCCGCCTCCTCCACCTTCTTCGTGGACGGCACGGACGACGCGGACCCGGAGGCCGAGGTCTTCATGATGGACGTTCTCCCGGCGCAGACCACCAAGTTCGGCGTTTTCTCCAACCTGTTCGAGCTTAACGGTGCCGAACCTGAGGCGTTCATGGTGCTCCGTGCCGAAGAACTGTGCCACCACGCAAGCTACAACGGAGGCGAAGAGAAGAAGTTCCACCGTTCAGCCAACGGCCATGTGAGACAGGTGCTTTGCAAGGAGGATGATTGCGACCGGACGGTCATCCAGGCACGAAGGAAGGAGCCGGTGGAGCTATGGAAGTTCCTCACCTTGGTCGCTTTGGGGACAAAGTGGGGAAAGAAGGCCCGGCACCGCGTGTGGCTTCAGACCCTGCACCGCGCCGAGCTCGAAGCCGCAGAGGCCAAGAAGCCTCCCCCGGCGACCTTTCAGGTTCGCCTCCAGGTGGGTCACCCGAGCACACTGCCGCAAGGTAGCCAGGAGCCGGCCTTCACCTCGCCACCTCCTTCTTGGACCGTAGTCAACGACAACCCCGGCTACTCGACACCTTCCTCGCTACCCTCGACAGCATCCGCCAACCCGCCGGTGGCAAGGATCGTGCGAGCCGAGACCATGGAGCAGCGCATTTGGGTCTATGGCGTTTGTATCTCGGCAACCTTGGACCTGCCCCCCTTTCCACAGCTGGCCGCCGAGGACCTCGACATCCTGCAGCCGATCCCCGCCGATGACCACATTCTTGGTGCCTCGACTCCGTTTGCTGGCAGGTACTATGCCGACGTGGCTTCGTCTTCGGAGTGCTCTTGGTGGTGCTCCCAGGTGGTCGGCTTCGCCCTCGGCAACCATCCCATGCGTCCCGACATCTACGCCTTCGGGTTCTACTTGTACGGCCGCTTGACTATGGTAAAGGAGGCGGTCGTGCGGATGCAAGGTGCCGGCCAGGACCCGAGGAAGCGGGTGCACCGCCCCTTCGACATGGTCTCTTCAAGGCAGATACGCGTTCCCGTCGCCATGGACCAGCACCGCCTCGACATTACCACGGAGCAGGACTGTGACGTCATGATGGTTGGTCCGAGCCCCTCTGGCGACGCTTCCGGTGACGACGTCGTCCCCTGCTCCTACGTGGCGTCTGAGCTCGATCCGCCTGGGCTGGCCATCTTGGACAGCGGGTGCACCAAGACGATGCACGGCGAAGCCTGGGCAAGACGCTTTGAGGCCGAGCTCACCCGACTGGGCCTCACCTTTGAGACGAAGGCCAAGACGCAAGTGTTCAAGGGGGTCGGGGGCCAGATCCGGAGCGAAGTGGTGAAGGTCTACCCCGTCGGCCTTGCCAAGGTACACGGCGAGATGTGCAGCTCAGAGGCTCCTGGACCCCTGCCGCTTCTGCTCTCGCGCCCCTTCATGGAGGAGATGGGCACCGTCATGGACATTGGCCGGGGGACCGTCAGCTTTACGGCCCTTGGCGTGGAGGACCTCCCGCTCGTGAAGACCTCTCGCGGCCACCTTGCCGTGGACCTTCTTGACTTCAACCACGACGGCCTGACTGAGACTTCCGAGCAAGAGGCCCCCACCGAGAACGACACCGCGAGAGAACAGGACTGGACCCTCGTCACAACCACTGCCGGCGAAGCCACTTTGGCAACCACGGCCGGCGGCGAGAGCGACTACCCCAACCAAGGCTACATGACACAGGAAGAGATCTACCGGATGCAAGACCTATGCCTTGGAGGAGGAGATGGAGACGATCCGCCAGTTCCCGAAGGATGGAACCCCGACGATTGGAGCGACCATCTTGACCACCTCCGCTTGTTGCGACAAGATGTGGAAAACTGGGAGGAGGAGCAGCGCAACGGCCAGGACGGGCTCTTCCTAGAGGACGTCACCGAGGACGTGGCCTACTTCGAGGAGGCCATGGTTCTTACCCCACAGGCCTTCCGGAGGGCGACCAACAAGAAAGGGAAGAGGCTTGAAGGGCTGGCCTCGGCGGTGGATAGCGATGACTTCGTCTTCAGGCGTGCCCTCTCTGGAAAGGCCCAGGTGCCCAACAAGCCCCGTGTGGGCCGCACTTGGGTCAAACAACTGTGGGGGATGGGGGCCGGGCTGAGCCTCCTCTGCGTTTTGGCAGGCATGGCCGTGGCCACAATGCCCGATGACACCGCGACGGGGGACGTCTTTAACCACAGGGCAAAGCGCCAGATCCACCACGACTTCCAGATCGAGGACCCCTACGTCACGGTAGCATGCTTGCCGCTCCCCTTCTCTGCGACACGGCCTGGCAGCAAGACCGTTTTCTTTCCCAAGGACAGCCACGAGAACCACGACAAGCAGACCGCCTTCGTGGAGAAGCTCCTTACCTCCCGCATCAAGTCAAGGAGGCACGTGGCTCTGGTGTGTCCCAAGCAGTGGGGCTACACAGCCGGCCCGCAAGACGAGGAGATTTACAAGATGCTGGAAGCTGGCGACCTCATTGCTTTCGAGGCTGGCGGAGAGTACGGCCTGAGCTTCCTTACTTCCCTCGTGACTCTGGAGAGCGCGCTGCAGGGCTGGAACCCCAAGAAGGGACATTGGCTTGAGGACCGCGGCCTTCACGAGGCCATCCTGGAGGCAGTTGTGCAGCAAGCCGTTGTCGAGGAGACAGCCGTCGAGGAGGTCAAAGAGGCCTTTCCTTTGGAGCCCGCGTCCCTTCGGATGCTGAGGAAGCGTAAGAAAGGACGGGTCGCCACCTTGACGGAGCAATTCAACGCCCCTCCGGTCTACATCCGCCCCGGCGACGTTGAGCCGATCGCCCCTGACGACGCCACGGACCGCACCCTGGCCGAGCTCATTGAGGAACCCACCGGTGCCGAACACCTGCGGTATGCGGCCAATGGCGACGATGCCTCGCACCGGGCGATCATGGCTGACCAGCTCAACCCCGTCTTGAGCATGACCGAGTCGGAGAGGAGACGGCGATGGCTGGACCTGGACCCCGAGCTGCGAAAAATCCTCAGGCAGCTCCATGTGCAGTTCGGGCACCCCACCAACACGACCCTCCAGCGGATACTTCGGAGGCAGGGTGCCCAGCCAGCAGCCATAAAGGGAGTCGACTACCTCGCTTGCGATGCCTGTGGAGAGTCACACCGCAACCGACGACCCAAGCCAGTCCGTCTCCCTGGCAAGTACGAGTTCAATGCCCACGTGCAGGTCGACGTTTTCTACGCCAAGGACATCAACGGCGTGCTCTTTAGCTTTCTCAACATCGTGTGTGAGGCCACTGGGTTTCAAGTTGTGTCTTGCATGGGAACGTCGCAAGGACCGCCGGCATCTACAGCCGTCCTCCGCCACTTCTTGACGTCCTGGTCAAACTGGGCAGGACTACCGGGAAGCCTCCAGGTCGACCGCGGCAAGGAGTTCATGGGTTCTTTTGCCGCCTACCTTAAGAGATTCGGGGTGGAGCAAGAGGTTATGCCTTTGGAGGCACCCTGGAAGAACGGCAAGGTCGAGAAGGCCGGCGGCTTGTGGAAGGATGTCCTCAGCAAGGTCGTCCTGGAGATGCAAGTGAGCGGCCTCCGCGACATGACCGTGGCCACCGCGATCGTCACACAGGTCCGCAACAGCTTTCCGAGAAGCTCCGGTTACGCCCCAGTACAGTGGGTCCTTGGCCGCCCCGACACCAAGCTTCCCGGCAGCCTTCTTCAAGAAGGGGAACAAGAACGCCTAGAGATCCTCGAGGCAGCCGAGGACCCAAGCTCAAAAATGGCAAGAAGCTTGGGAATGCGAGAGGCAGCAAGGGTGGCCCAGATCAGACTCGACAATGATGGCCGAGTTCGCCGCGCCCTTTTGCACCAGGCGGCTCCTACGCGAGGCCCTTTTCCAGTCGGGAGCTACGTCTACTTTTACCGGGCTCAGATCCCGCCAGGCGCTTCCAGGACCTACCGCTGGCATGGACCAGCCCGGGTCATTGGCGTCGAGATTCGCAACCAACGCCGGCTGGAACACCCGGATCCGCCAACTGACGGCGGGCAACCTCACTCCTACTGGCTCCGGTACGGCGCGAGCGTGATCCTGGTCACTGGTGAGCAACTGCGCTTTGCGAGCGAAGACGAGCTCTTGGCTGCCCACTCGGTACCTGAGCAAACCATGGCGCCTGCCTACGCACGGGGAGCAAAGGGGTACATGGACCTGCGCTTGCCGGCGACAAGGGTACCCGCGGCCTGAACTTCCGACCGCGACACCAGCCCCATTGAGAACGAGTACGGCACCCATGCCGGCCGCAACCGGGAGCTCCGCGAGACCGCCACCTTCAGCACTGGTGCCCGGCACGGACATTGTGGTTACGCCCGACCTACTACCTCCTGTTCCCGAGGACGACGAAGGGCTACTTGACGCAGAGCCCGGCCAGGAAGCACCTCTGGAACCACCGCAGAATCCAAGGACGGGCGAAGGGGCACAGGCACTAGGCCTAGAAGCACCGCTTGAACCACGGCAGAATCCAAGGACGGGCGAAGGGGCACCAGGCACAGACGCCAACATGGACAGGCAAGCCTCCACAGTGTCATCCGTTGAGCCAGAGCCAATGCCCAGTACACCCCTGGTCGCACCAGCTCCAGCACCGAGCGAACAACCACATGTACCACCAGCTCCCATCAATATGTTTCGAGATCCTGACCGCTTAGATGGCTACAGGCCGTCCCGTGGGTCTCGGCCGGAGAGCTCGCGACCATACTTCGCGGAGGCGCTGTCCTGGGAATTCCCACCAGTCTCCCATACAGTCCGAGAGCAGCGTTTGCGGAGAATGGTGGATGGAGAGGAAGAGTACGAGCCGGACACCACCGACGAGGAGGATTATGAGAGCATGTTCGCCGACCTCACTCCGGCCGACATCTTCTTGACGGGCAAGGCCGTCCGCTCGGAGATCAAGCTCAAGGACCTGAACCCCGAGGAGAAGAAGAAGTTCGAGGCCTCTATGGCCAAAGAGTGGGCCTCCTGGGAGAAGTTCAACGCAGTGGAGGTCCTGACGCCCGACCAGGTTGCGCAGCTGCCGGGCGATGTGCGCATCATTGGGACGCGCTGGGTTCACACCGACAAGAACCAAAAGCAGAGGCTCCTTGCTCTACACGTTCGGGGGAAAACCGGCAAAAGCAAGGAGCAGGTACTCAAGGAGTACCCATTCGCAGCCAAGTCCCGGCTTGTGGTGCAAGGGTGTCAGGAGGACTCCCGCGACATACGCTCAGACAGCCCCACCGCAAGCCTCCTCGCCTTCAACCTCCTTTGCGCCGTGGCTGTGATGAACGGTTGGGAGGTGGCTGCCAGTGATGCCTCAACGGCCTACCTCCAGTCTCAGGGGATCAGCAGGCTTTTGGTGCTAAGGGCACCCAGGCCACCACCACCAGGGCTCGGGCCGAACGACCTTCTCAGAGCAAAAGGGTCTATCTATGGGACCCGCGACGCCGGCCGGCAATGGTGGAAGAAACTCTACCGTTCCCTTTTGGACCACGGGTGGAGGTTGTCCCGCATCGAGGCCGCCTTCTTCATCCTGGCCGACGGCCCGCGCTTGTTGGGGGTAATGATCTCCCACGTCGATGATCTCTACAGCGCAGGAGAAGGCAAGGCCTATGAGGACACGCTCACCAAGTTAGAGGGCGAGCTGCACCTGACGATCAAGAGAGGTGCCTTTCGGTTCTGCGGGAAGAACATAAAACAGGTCGACGGCGAGATCTTTATCGACCAGATGGACGCCATCGAGGGGATCGACTATATGGTTCTCCCGACCGACCGCCGCAAGAACGTCAATAGCCCCCTGACGGAGCCAGAGAAGACTGCATTCAGAGGGCTCATCGGGCAGATGGGCTGGGTGACCCGGCAGTCAAGGCCGGACCTGCTCGTGAATGTGAGTCTGGCCGCCCAGTCCGTGAGCAGCCCCAAGGTTAGCGATGTAGTTCGCTTGAACCGTGCCGTGAAGATGCTCAAGGACACCTCCGAGGCAAAGTGGTGTTTCAGGAAGAGCGACCTCAAGCTTAAGGACGCCGTCGCCTTCGTCTTTGCAGACAGCAGCTTTGCCAACGTGGAGGGTTCAAAGAGTCAGTGCGGCTACGTGGCTGGGCTCACTAGCCCCGACATCGTGAATGGAGGGCCCGTGCCGATCTACGTCGTAGAGGCCTTCTCTGGGAGTATAAAACGCGTGTGCCGCAGCACCTTGGCTGCCGAGGCGAACGGCTTCCTGAGCGGCGCAGAGGCAGCGGAATATATTCGCTCCCTTCTCCTGGAGATTAACCACCCCGACGTGACCGTCCGGGACCTGGACCAGCACTACGTGAAGAAGAAGATTGCCTGCTTCACGGACGCGCGCTCTCTCGAGCAGACCTTGAACAAGGACGCCGGCCAGCCCCAGGACAAGAGAGTGAGAATCCTCATTGCCCAAGCCCGGGAAATGATCGGGGAGAACAACTATGATGATGATGCCCCCGGCTTCGCTACGTGGGTCGATACCTCGCAGATGCTTGCAGATGTGCTGACGAAGGAGAACTGCGATAGGGAGCCCCTTTTGCAAGCCCTCGCCCAAGGTGTATGGCAGCTCGAGCCTTCGGACGCGGCCAGAGAGCGAAAGCTCCTGATCCGTGCGGGAAGGCATTCGCGAAAGGCCGCCAAGCAAGTGCGAGCCGAGGACGGGTGAAATTCCACCGGCATGCTAGCAGAGAAGCGTGCCACGTCTTCCATGCCGATTGCTTTCGGTTCACCTTGCAGGGCGCCCTTTTGAGGTAGAAAAAGCGTGCCTCAGCTCAGCAGCGCCGCCTTGCTGAGTTTGATGTGGTGATTCTGTGGCCAGCTGGGGCTTTGAAAAAGAGCTAGTGCTCATGCTTGGTCCAGCCGTGCCACCAGTCGAAACCGAAAAGGAGCTCCGTCCTGGGGAAGCATTGTTTGTCTCTCTACTCAGGCTCTGCTTCTTTAACTCTCGGCACAACATCGCTCTCAACCTGTGCATGCGGACTGAACGATACACCCCCAATGCTGTCCTCGAGGGCATGTACTCAGAACAGGGATGTGCTACAAGTTCTGCTGTAAAGGAATTCAAAAGGTTGTCAGCAAGACGTCATGGCACCTTCACGGTTGCGAAGGAGTTTGAGCAGCAGATGTGCAAACGCTTCGTGCATCCAAGATGTGGAGATTCGACGAGAGTTGTGTGAAGACGTTTTAGTTTGTTCCAACTTCTGGAGATGCTCGCTGTGGTGTCTGGGAGGCCCTTAGAAAGCTGTGGGAACTGGCCGGGTATGACAACCTGCACTACAAGCTGATAGCCCCGTCCGGATGTCAGCACTGGTCGTCTCCTTTGCTTGTTTCTGCAATTGTTCCGGTTGCCGCGACTGCCCAGGCTTGCCGACTTCTGCTTCAAGCAGGTAGGCACTGTCTAGCTCTCCTGTTTTGAAGATCTCGTTGTCTGCCAGCATTCGCAGGATCTGGAGTAGCACGCCCAGTATTGACTGCAAGCTACCATGTGCCTTGAGAAGTGTGGTCCGAATGCCGAGGAACAGTTCTGTCCCCGCAGTGGTTCGCGAAGTGGTTCAATGCTTGGATTTTCTGACAAGCAGTTGTTTTAATCACGGCTTTAGTCGCGTCTCAGGCCCTCGCGGAAATCGCTCCGATCTTGACCGGCCAAGACGGTTCCAGTCTCAGTTCGGGCTTGATCCATCGCAGCATCTGCATTTGCCGAAGGTGCAGAACCGTTCAGCACTGTGTCAGACATGAGACAGGCCAAGTCCAGAAATCCAACTGACAAAGCCGTGTCCGTTTCCTGTCTCGGCGTGAGGCAGCATCCAAGCTCGTCGATGCTGTAGAGCGTCGAATAAAGGCGATGTGGCATGACTCACTAGGACCAGGATGTTGGGAGTGTAGCAGTTCTTGTTTGTCAGGAGTCCAAGGATCTCTTCCTTGTGGAGGTGCTCTACGGCCGAGAGCCTTCACACCACACGACTGTTCCCCAGTCCACAAAGCCCAGCTAAGGTCTGAAGTGCCTGAGAAGTGCGGGCAGAGACTGCAAGGCCTTGTTGGAGGCCTGACATCCAAGAAACCCAGCACCTTCGATGTGCGTCCGCGTCCGCGTCCTTCCATGAAGGCATGGACACCTCCTGGAGTCCTCTCCCGAGCTTTGCCTCGCCGAGCTTTCCCACTTCCAGGGTTTGGGGGGTGGAGAGTCTGAGCTGCCGCTGCGCTTCTAAATCCACGGAATGTTCGAGTTGAAGCCCTTCGAGTGTGCCTTGCAAAATCTCTTGGCTTGCACGTCGGACTGTCAAAGCTTCGGGTGCACAGCATTCACATGGGGTCAAGGATCATTAGCGGGTGTCAACAGGTCTTCCGTATTAACCTTCTGCAATTCTGGGCTTTCCGTCTTGCTGCATGATGGGTCGAATAATTGAGAGACTGTAGTCTGAGTTCATCTGATAGTGATACTGATGAGGACTATGACAAACTGTGCCAAGCTGTTGGACTTGTGAGCCTTTGTCGCGAAATTGAATACAAAAGTCTGCAGCATGACGATTGTAACAACAGTATTGATTCTCATGAGCATGAGGCCCATGACTCTCGGGCAGCTGTGGTAGTTCTTTGCCTACTCCTGCGCCGTCGTTGCTGCCGCCATTGCCGAGCGGTCGTCGTCGTCGTAGGGTCGTTGTTGTTTGATGCTGCGACTTTTGTCGTCGACCGCCTTTTGACAGTGCAGTTGTGGTTTGGAGTACTTGTACGTTGCCTTTTGGCTTCTTCGCACGCTTTCGGGTGTCGAAGCTGAGATCACAGACTCGTGTAGCCTGGCGACACATGGCAAGTTTGCAGCCTGTCCCAGAAACCACTCCCGAAGAAATAACAGAAACCAGTTCTCTGCTGGACCCTGCCCAGAGCCGGCATCCACCACATCCGAACTCTCGGTAATCTATTCCCTACGCGAGCGGAATTTCACGAAACCTTGAGGTCTGCTTTTTGCGACACGTGTGTGCGAACCAGGTCCTTTGTTTGAAGGAGAGCAAGAAGCTGCTCGACTACTTGGCAAAAGAGTTCGGCAAGGATGATGGATTTTTGCAGGGTCAGGGACAGTCAAACGTCTTTCCTGCTATGCTACACACAACGCTAAGCAGCTGAAGTGTCCCACGAGTGGCTATCTCGTTTGTTTGAACTCCGACCTTGCGGAGGACTCTACTGCTTGGCAGCGGCTGCGGCAGCGATGCCTGGAGTTTTTCCCTTTGATGGCCGCGATCTTGGTCAAGGTCCTAAGAAAGGGAGCAGCACTGTCATTGTGTCCCAAGGTCATTCCGTCTGACTGATTCGGGCAAGTTTTGCAGCTAACTCCAAGTAGCCTGCTCGCGCGGAATGTAGCTGCAAGCCAAGCCTGACTTCACTGCATGGTTTCTCATTCAGAAGCAGGACAGCACTGATTTCAAATAACTTGAACGGGTATTGCGGCTCGACGCATGATGCTACATCATCCTTGAAACTTACATTGCACTAGAGCGAGCTTTGTGAGCGATGAGTGATGGACGCTCTGAGCTTCCAAAGCTCAAAACAAAGAGAAGAAGCCAGTTATCGTCGGGCAATGCTGCGTTTCAGGCAGCCGTCATGTGGTGTGCATGTGGCATGCGCGCGCCCGTGGCCGTCAGTGCTCATTGCCCGAGCATGATAACAGGAAGCACTATTGGCAGCGGATATTCGAGTTCGCATTATGTTCAGGAGAGTCAGATGCATAGGTCCTTTGTGTGTAGTTCAAAGAGTCAAGAACGTCCATCCGTTGGGTCTGCTTCGTTAACAATGGCTTCCTCCAGTCCAGCCCGCTGCGAGCTCGAGCGCAATGAGCTTTACTCACAGCTTGCAGCCTCGATGATCAAAGAGTCCATCTCGTGGACAGCAGGTAAAGGAGCTAATATGGCTGAGAGGCAACTCCGGTTGGAGCGAGAGCTACAGATCTTGGGCCAATTAGGCGAGCAAGAGAGTGTCGCCGAGCAAGGTTCGAAAGAGTCCGTTGAAGTCCTGGGCGAACTTTGGGATCATGTCGAGGATGAGTTGGTATCTTGCTTGGTAGCACAGGCTGAGACCCTGCCCCGCCTGTCTGTCGTCCCACCAGGGGAGGTGGTGCAGCTAGTTGATGACACTGCTGAACTTGAGGAGGAACTGCTGAGACTGCGCTCAGAGCCTTTCTGCAAGCGCTCTCTGACTGTACCTCCGTTTCATGCTGCTAAGCATATCAGTTTGGAATCGCATGCCCCAGCCGTCAAAAAGACATCCGTCGTGGAGGCATGTGAAGCACATGCTGCAGCTCCACGTTATAACCCAGTCACATGCCCAAATCCTGGACAAAGCCACGCTCGCAATAATGTGTCACCAGAGGGTGATGTTGGTGTTGAGGTTCCCGCAAGAGCTGGAAATGCAAGTAGCTTTCGGAGCGCAGCGGACCTCTTTCCGGAGGTGGCCAACAAAAGCCAGCCACACCCTTGCGCAGTCAAAAAGCAACGGGAGTTTGACGAAGTCAGCCAGTCAATCCTGAAGCGGGATTCTAAATGCCGTGCTCCGAAGCGTCATGCAGATGGCAGTGACAAGCTTCAGCGTGAGTGGAGCGATGCCTGGCTGCGCATCGCAGATGCAGACCAGCTCGAAAGACTTGTGCCCGCATTAGAGGTGCCCAGCTGACCAAAATCCCCTAGGACTCTCACGGGCATTGTTTAAGCCACCAAGTACGTGGTGTAAGACACGCATCGGATCGAGAAGCGCTTGAAGTCTTTGACTTTTCAACCCCTGAAGGCAACGATCCACCGCACGGATGCTGATGCCGTGCAGAAGGAAGACATTGCTGGATTGAGCTTCGTCAAAGCGCAGATCGAGGAGGTCTTGATCTTGCCACGTTTGCATCCCGAGCTCTTCCTGTCGGCATTAACAAAACCAGCCCGTGGCCTGCTACTTTTCGGACCACCTGGCACAGGCAAAACGCTGCTTGCTAAGTGGATAGCCGCAGAGTGTGGAGCAACATTCTTCAACATCAACGCTTCATCTGTCATGTCCAAGTGGATCGGAGAGGCAGAGAAGACGGTGAAGGCTCTCTTTCAGTTGGCCGCAGACAGGCAGCCATCCGTAATCTTTTTGGATGAAATCGATTCCTTGCTAAGCCAGCGTCGTGACGCCGACAACGAGGCTTCGCGCAGGGTGAAGAACGAGTTCCTAACTTCTTTGGAGGGTGCCGAGACAGCAGCTGACGAGAAGATTCTCTGCGTTGGCGCAACGAACATGCCTTGGGACTTGGATCATGCTGTTCTCCGCAGGCTCCCGAAGCGCCTTTATGTGCCCTTGCCTGGCAAAAGAGCCCGGAGATCCCTCTTGGTGGCTCAGCTGGCGAAGCATAACTCTAAAGTTGGCCTCCAGGGAGACATGAGTGCTTCCGACATCGACTACATTGTTGAGCATACTGAAGGCCAGGCTGAAACGAGCTGGTAATGTTCAGGAAGTGCAGTCATTCTCGTTCATCTTCCCTGCAGGATTCTCCTGCTCGGACTTGCAGCAGCTGCTGTGCGAAGCTGCTATGGGTCCTGTGCGTGAGGTTGCTGCTGCGCGCATCCGACAGAGACAGAGTGGGGATGCCACGGCCGCTTTGCTTGAGGTCAAGCATTCCAGTCCCATGGTTAAGCGCTTGCATGTACACCGCGA